GTGTTTAAACTACAGGCTAAAGGCTCTCGTCCCCAGTGAAGAGTGGCTCCTGGCTGCTGACTGACACAGAATGTCATGTTTGCTCTCTGCTTTACTTTCTGGTCCATGGAGAAAATGCTGATGTGAACCAACCCGTGGTCACATTAACATGTGTAGCTCAGCTCCTGGAACATTGTGAACACCACTTGTTGCAGTACATTTTTCAGACATTGTTAAAAGTTTGGGTTCAAACAGGGAAAGTTAAAGACATAAGCTCTCATAGCGCAGTTGAATATTTCCACAATTTGAGAATCACTCGCTTAAATGAGTGTATTAAGGAGTCATAATAACCCAGACTCTGACTGATTCTGACTCTTTGGTTTGAATTCAAAAAGGAACCTTTTTTACACGTGTTGTGACACACATGGTACCACTAAGGTCATTTGTTCTAGAGGATTTATTATTTCTGTATACTAATAACAAAGTGTGATGAATGCCTTCGGCTGCCGTTCCACAATAAACAATCACAGGCCTTATTTGAAGCCCATCTGAGCATCTACAGCATGTCTTTACCTCTCCAACTTTTTACAGATCCACTGAACAGTCCAGGAAACTGTGCTTGTAGGTGCGGTCCTGGAGAAAAATGGGGTGTCTATGACTGTGGTGCTGGGCGTTCTTTCATGTGTTCTGATGAGAAGCTTATTCTGGTGAAGGAGAGTAAGACGTGGGAGGAGGCCTTAGAGCACTGCAGGTCTCTGGAGATACTGGACCCAAATGTGGCCACAGCTCCTTACCGGAACTACCGCTATGATCTGGCCACCCTGATCAGTCAAGACGACCACACCAAGGCTCGAGAGAAAGCACAAGAGGCTGACTCTCAATCGGTCAGTTTTCTAAGCTGTATTTGTACTGTGGAGCAATTCAGCCGTCTTTCTTATACGTACCTGTCTGCTAAATGTCCGCAGGTGTGGACGGGTCTGCGTCACCTGGCTGGTCAGTGGATGTGGGTGAGCGGAGAACCGGTGACGTATGAGACGATTCTAACCTGCCCCCAGTCCAAGGCCTGTGGCGTCATGCCCAAGGAAGGAAACGAAACCTTCAGTATAAGGGAGTGCCACCAAAGGAGGAACTTCCTCTGTTCTAGGAGGCCTTAAACCAGTGGTGTCATGTAACCAAGTACATTCACTGGAGTTCTGACTTTAAGTACAAATTTGAGGCATCTTTACAGTTTATAAGACAAAGTACTTGTCTACTGCTTCATGTCAGCAGAAGATGTTATCCTTTCTACTCCACTATTTTTATCTGACTGCTATAGTTATTTTGCAAATTAAGCATTTGTTTTGGGGGTTTTTTCGTAGAAAATAGTAAAATTCCGTTGAACTGATTATTAGTTTTTATGGTAAACATATAATAAATAACATTTCATGTTTTTAACTTCCTAAATGTAACAAAGTAAAAAGTTTTACACGCATCAATGCATTCTAATAGTCTGATGATATTGTACCACAGAGTCCGTTTCTGATTATGTTTTGCTTTAAGTACATTATCCTTATAATACTTAAACATACTTGTACTTAAAGTGGCAATCTGAAGATATTAATTTAAATAAATGTCTGTTTAATCATCAAATGAGGTAACACAGTGGTGACTGAGCCGATGACCCACTGATGGAGTTATATAACGCAGATTTTTAAGGTGGTCACTTTAACTGACATACCATTTACAGGCTTTCCTATCAGCATTATATATATATTTCTATTTAAAACCTGGGAGCTCTCAGTAGAGGGATGTAGTTGCCAAATGTATGCATGTTTACCTGGTTCTGTGTTTCACTGTGCACCTACTTGAGGATAAACTTGTCTTGATTTTGCCTTAAAGTGATACACAATGTAATAAGTGCTTAGTCTGTCATGTAACACAGATATTTTGCATGGAGGTGAAGCATTTTGCTTGAATTTACACCTACGGCTAAGCACCTAGAATTTCTGACCTTGACCTTTCATCCAAGGTCAAATGTCACCTCACCTGTGTGGGTTCCTATGCGATTGTAACAAGAAACTTTGTGTTTGTCGTACACCTTTTACAAGTTATAATGGATTTAAAATGTGTGGTGATTGAAGAACTTCAGTGTGACCTTGAATTGATAGAAAGTCGTCTGTAGTTGAAATGATTTGATTCCTGCTGCAGCATGTTTTTTTTTGTAGCCTCAGGTGCTTTCATTTTGTATTCAGAATTAGATGTATAAACCTAATGATTGTCCGAATAACAATAAATGGAATAAAAAGCTTGATTACACCGATGTAGTAGTTTCGTGTGAGTCCCTAAACCTCTAAAACAGAAGCAGAAGAGGCAAAGTTAGCATCATCAGAGTTACAACAGCAAGATGTGACGAAAGCACAGCAGGCAGAAACATACTGGAACCTTCAAATAGACTGAGTATAATGTGTAGGAAATAACTCCCATGCATATGAAACTAGTTCATTCCTATTTTTCTATATGCAAATACATTTCTTAAATATTTATTAAAATTATATGAAGAATATTAAGTTTATTGATATTTAGTGACCAGGTTAAAGCAGTAGAAGGTGTTTGATAAAAAAAATAAATGAATGTTTTAATTGTATGAAACTTCCTTCCTAATCACCTTAAAGCAGGGGTGTCAGACTCTGGCCCGTGGGCCAAATTTGGCCCGCGAGACAATACCAAATGACTACTAGAGCTGTCCCCGGTATTATACTGTACAGCGCATTCACCGCTAATACTACAAATCCCATAATGCCCTGTTGTTGTTTTGGCACAATCAGGACAGGACCCAGAAACGCCCTCTCCTCTGTGACAGTAGGCATAGCGACTTCACACTACAACTGTCACTGTGCCATTGATGTGTTTTTTTATTTATAATTTGATTTTGCATGTCTCCACTATTAAGTTATATATAATGTATGGGAATAAGCGTTGCTTGTTCCATATTCAATGTTAAAGCAAAATTTGTTTCGGTCCATATTAAAAGGTTCATTTGTTGAATGTTGGCCCGCGACTTTGTTCAGGTTTTAAATTTTGGCCCACTGTGTTTTTGAGATTGACACCCCTGCCTTAAAGCTTCACAAATCAATCATCTTTACTAATTCAACTATAATATATCAAAATTAGAACCAAAAAGGTAAATGAAGACCATCGCCGCATCAAGAAGCTTCCTCTGTGTTTGGGTTTTGGGGTTAATCTAATGGAAAACCTGCATCACCTCTTATGTGACTGATACCTCTTTCCCACCAAACCGGTTCCAGTGTGTCCAGTTCTGTGCTAGTGCTTGACTTAGCACCAGTTCTTTTTGTTTCCACCGGCTCCAGGCTCTCAAAATTGGTCTTAGCAAGCACCAACTCTTTGCTGGGCCAGAGCTAAGCACCCCCGAGTACATCAGGGTCTGGGGGCGGGGTTATCATGACCAATGAGAGTGATGAATGAATGGGACACACAAGTGATGAATTGTGTCGTTTTTCGCCAGGACGTCTCTGGTCCGATCACAAATGCATTGGAATGAGTCCTGGGACACACGGAAGTTTTGCACAAACTGTTGCGCCCTGAAAGCCGGAACAATTGTGTCCCACCAGCAGCACCAGTGGTGGAAAACGGTACTTTTATTACTTTGGTGTACCGCGGTATTTACGCTAAGAAATGCAGTCTTCTCATGAGAAATGGGCTGCACCAATTCCACTCATAGAAAAGGCTGCATGTGAAAAAAAATCACTCGGTTTCATCAAATTTGACATTAGAACGCCCTAGTTTACTCTTTTTGAAGTCATTTTAGGTCACACACCGGTCTGAGCACCACGACTACAGCAGCCTGCTATGTGGGCCGTTCGGGGAACATTGGAAACTGTAGAGTCTATCAGTAAGAAAATGTTCAGCAAGTCATATGTTTTGCCTGTGACAAGGTGAGAAGTGCAAACAAATGAGAAAGTTGGTCACACTGGTAGAAAACTCTGGAGTCCTGTGTGGACTTCGGTGCGGCGCGAGCGTTGTTCGGTGAACGGCTATGTTTGCAGTGACGTATGTCATGGCTCTGACTTGGCTCCTTGCCGATGGAAAAGCAACCGGTTCTTAGATTGGAACCAACTGAGCACGGGCCCTAGCACCAGCACGGAACTAGCACCTGATGCTTCTTGGTGGAAAAGGGGTATCAGAGGACGCAGTGACTTGGTTTGTCAGGGAAGCAGTGTTGGAACTATGTGGTAACCTTCCAGCGTGACCACCAGGGGGCGCCTGGATGTTTCAGTAAATCACACAGTGTTTGTTAATAGTTTTTCTGCTTAATTAGTTTGATAAACAACTTAAAATATTCCATTGTGAAATAATAAATAGCTGCTGTTCGTGCAAATACTCTGACTGGACCTTTTGCACAGGAAGCTCTAAAGACACCGATCACCCCTTTGTAGGTATTTTTGTATGCTTGTGTAGTTGTTTGTGTCTCTTCTGTGTCTTTGTAGTTTTGTAGATTTGTATTTCTTCTTCTTGTGTCCGTTTCCTCACCATCATTTTGCGTCTCGTTCTGGCTGTTTTGCTTCCCATGTAGTTGTTTTCTGTCTCTCTGTGGTCGTCATCTGTCTGTAGTTTTGTTGTGCCTCTTTGTAGTTGTTTTGAGTCTTTTGTATCTCTTTGTGTCTCTTTGTATTCTGTCTCTGCGGTTGTTTGTATTTCTTTCTGGTTGTCTGTGTTTCTTTGTCGTTGCTTTGCTTCTCTTGTGTCCCTTTGTTGTCGCCATGTGTCGGATTTTGTCGTCACGTCATCCCTCTTTGCAGTTGGTCTGAGTCTTTTGGGTCTCTGTGGTTATTTTGTGTCACTTTGCTTTTCGCCTCTTTGCGGTCAAAATAACTTTGCAAGTTGTGTTTGAAGGAGGGAAAAAGTAAATACATTTCGGTGGTAGTTGTTTAAACTGAGTTGCTGAATTTTCATTGTATGGGTATTTAAAGACATTGCCTAAATTTCTTAGTTTATTTAAAAATAAAGGGTATTTCTACATTAGCGTCTGTGTCAATTCGGTGTTTATTCTGTATACTGTAGTGAGGGGGTTAATGTAATGGGAAAAAGTGGCCTGTTCTACAAACTCTATGAGAACACCTTTGACATGCTTGAGAACCTTTCACCTGTCTGAGAATCATTCATGTCATTTATTTTTCATTAACTTAGTAAACATAGTTTCAAGTCAGTATCCGGGTCTTCTTCTTTATTCCTGCGCTTCACACTCCAACCAGCAGGTGGCGATATTTCATCATTGCGAAAGACGTCTGCTTCCGGGTCACGTGACCTCCGAGCGAGCGGCTGCGTTATCCAAACAAACATGGCGGAGAAAGGAGCCGAAGGAGCCGCTGGAGCCGCACCACCAACGACGGCGGCGGAGGAGCAGCTTCGCCGCCGCCGACAGGAGCTCAACTACTGGAAGCAAAACGCGGCGCGGCTCCGCAGCAGGAACCTGGTGACCGGCCTGACTATCGGGGCGTTTGTGGTCGGCATGTGTATCCTTCACTTGAGCGGTCACAGTGTTCATCATTTAACTCTCATTTCAGTACGTTTGACGGATTAATATTGTAGCGTGACTGTATTTGTTTAGCAGCTTTGTTCGCTAAAATTAAAAATAAAAGCCCAATTAAAGTTCCGTCACAGGAAGACCTTTGAAGTATTAAAAAAAATGTCTGTATAAGAGTGCAAATTTTAATTGACAAGACAATATATGTAAAAAAGAAAAAAAGAAAGAAAGAAAGGACTCAGAAAAATCGGGAGTCACACGGATAATTGTTATTCTACTAATTTCACCTTCACAGCAGCGAAGAGTTTTCTGCACATGCGCACTACTGCCGAGGATCAGCCTCTTTGTTTTTTCTCTTTAAACATAAAAATTAATAAAGAAATCCAAGCAAGAATAAAGTAGCACAGGAAATTACAGGAGTCAGTTAAATATTGTGGTGAAATTGAATTAAAATTCAATGTTAAATGATGTTTTCTCACTGTTTTCTAATCTCAAAATCTCAAATTTGTGTTTTAAAGTCACCAAAATCACACCAGTAGATGCTTCTTGCTGCAGCAAATGCTAAATAGTTGTTTCTTTTTTCTCAAATGTGTTCACCTCCCGACTGCAGTTAGTTTTCGGTCCAGATTTTAGGACAAATTCATTGTTAAACGCAGATTATTCAGAAGGGTTCACTTGTCTTGACTCTGGGAATGTGGTTCATTCTGAGCACTTAACCCAAATTCAGTAAAGATGATGTTGAGGCTACATGATTAGCCATGTAGCATGCTTGAAAAAACCAATAGATTAATAAATTAGCTAGTTCAGAGTGTCCAGTCAAGAAATGATTCAAAAGAAAAAGGAAAAAACTACACTCGTGGCCTTTTTTCGAAGTCTCGTCGGGTTTTCCTTTAACCTGTAGCCGTCCAGTTACCTACACCATCCTGTCGGTCAAGCAGGAGAGAATCATGGAGGAGCTGGATGACGAAGCCAAGATCCACATCATGAGAGGGCCGCGGACCGGCGCCAACTCCTGAACGTGAACTCTCCCAAACTCAGTGATCTGTGGCCGCTGAGGAAGGGACTTTAGTGTGACGTCCAGAGACTGCAGCGAGCATCACACAGCTCATATACGGACAGTTACTGATTTCTTTTTTTGTTTTCATTGTTTCTTTTTCTGTTTGGAAATAGCTGACTTCTGAATGATTATATTAATTTAAGCCGACTATGAATCGAGTGTATTATTTACAATTTATGGACAAAAGTTGTGCCTAATCACAGATCCATCCATCCATCATCTATACACCGCTTAATCCTCACTCGTGGGGGGCTGGAGTCTATCCCAGCTGACTCAGGGTGAAGGCAGGTTTACCTGGACAGGTCACCAGTCTATCACAGGGCTACACTTAGAGACAGACAACCAAGCACACTCACATTCACACCTACAGACAATTTAGAATCACCAATTAACCTCAACATGTTTCTGGACTGTGTGGGAGGAAGCCGGAGAACCCGGAGAGAACCCACACTGCACGGGGAGAACATGGAGACTCCACGCAGAAAGATCTTGGGTGTCCTCGTGAGCCGGGGACCTTCTTGCTGTGAGGCAACGGTGCTAACCACAGAACCACCTTGCAGCGCAATTTCCATAAATGATTTCCCTAATATGGTCGGCTCCTAATTGACAGGAAAATAGGGAAAGCATTCAGTTCCTCTGCTTCCTCTAAGTTAATTTAACTCAGCTTGACCTCTGAAGCTATTTAGTCTTTGCGCAACAGGGAAATTTGTTAGTGTCCAAAAGTTGTCATGAATATTTGTTTGATTTTGAAATGAGCTTTTCTTTCAGTTTTATGCACGAAAAAGGTGTTTTTTTTTTAAATGTTAAAAAACAAACAAACAAAAAAACTACTAAACCTCCGGGAGCAAGGAAGCCAGAAAAATAAAAATTCAACAATGAAATACTTAAAATAAATAAATAAAAATCTGGCACTGCTGCTGCCAGACGGTAATCTGTTAAAAATGTACATTAAAAAACTATTTAAGTGTTAGAGATCTATTCTGCCAAAACCATTGTAATTTAGCAAACAAATAAAGCTTCTAAAGTACTTTTATATGGCAAACGTATGAAAGCAAATTATAACAAAATTACAAAAAAATACCGTAAATATCTGTATAAAAAACTGAAACACAAGTCATGTAATTTCCAATAATAAAACCCATTTACAAGAGAAACAACTGTAAAAATGGCAACAAAAAAATTATACAGCTGTTATTTTTTTTTTACATTTAACCACTTTTTAAAAATTATTATTATTATTATAATTTTTACTTGGACATTCTTTGTAATGATTCACCCTGTACAACATCAGGGAGATCAGACCTTTCCTGTCTGAACATGCAGCACAACTCCTGGTACAAGCTCTCATAATATTACACATTGACTACTGCAGCTCCTTACTGGCAGGCCTCCCCGCATCCACGGTCAAACCTTTTGCAGATGATCCAGAATGCAGCAGCACGTCTGGTTTTCAAGTCACCCCGCTGTTCAGATCGCTTCACTGGCTTCCAGTTGCTGCCCGCATCAAATTCAAAACCTTGACACTTGCTTACAAAACCACAACGAGACCAGCTCCCTCCTACCTGAACTCCCTCCCGCTCCCTGCGCTCGACCAACAAAAACCACCTGATACAACCACTACAGCAGGGCCGAGGTCGATAGCTGGACTCTGTGGTTCCTCGGTGATGGAACGAGTTACTAAACTCAATCTGCTGACTCCCTCTGAGTCTTTAAGAAAAGACTGAAGACCCGGCTCTTCACTGAACACCTTTGCACTTGACAGCCTGAAAACAAACCTCCCACACAGCCTGCTGTTGACATCAACGCCCTATCACACTTGAACTTGTTCTATGGAACTTATCCAGATGGTTTGATCCTGACTAGATCCTTGCTCGTGCTCTCAGATGTACGTCGCTTTGGATGAAAGCGTCTGCTAAATGAAATTGTAGAATTGTAATCTAATGAAAAGTGTTGAGGTGATCCTGAACCAGCCCTACAGCGATAAACCTTCCCAAGAAGGACAGTTTTAAGCCTGATCTTTAAAGTAGAGGGGGGCTAATTGTTTGACCCTGAGAGAGACCAGTGTCCCTCGGAGGTCTTATTTCTAATCATGTAGCCACCATAATATATATGTTTTTGGTACTCTACTGAAGCANTGGACATCCTTTGTAATGATTCGCCCTGTACAACATCAGGGAGATCAGACCTTTCCTGTCTGAACATGCAGCACAACTCCTGGTCCAAGCTCTCATAATATCACACATTGACTACTGCAGCTCCTTACTGGCAGGCCTCCCCGCATCCACGGTCAAACCTCTGCAGATGATCCAGAATGCAGCAGCACGTCTGGTTTTCAAGTCACCCCGCTGTTCAGATCGCTTCACTGGCTTCCAGTCGCTGCCTGCATCAAATTCAAAACCTTGACACTTGCTTACAAAACCACAACGAGAACAGCTCCCTCCTACCTGAACTCCCTCCCGCTCCCTGCGCTCAACCAACAAAAACCACCTGATACAACCAGCACAACAGGGCCGAGGTCGATAGCTGGACTCTGTGGTTCCTCAATCTGCTGACTCCCTCTGAGTCTTTAAGAAAAGACTGAAGACCCGGCTCTTTACTGAACACCTTTGCACTTGACAGCCTGAAAACAAACCTCCCACACAGCCTGCTGTTGACATCAACGCCCTATCACACTTGAACTTGTTCTATGGCACAGATGGTTTTCTCCTGACTAGATCCTTGCTCGTGCGCTCAGATGTACGTCGCTTTGGATACACGTGTCTGCTAAATGAAATTGTAGAACTGTAATCTAATGAAAAGTGTTGAGGTGATCCTGAACCAGCCCTACAGCGATAAACCTTCCCAAGAAGGACAGTTTTAAGCCTGATATTTAAAGAAGAGGGGGGCTAACTGTTTGACCCTGAGAGAGACCAGTGTCCCTCGGAGGTCTTATTTCTAATCATGTAGCCACCATAATATATATGTTTTTGGTACTCTACTGAAGCAAGGTGTCTTAATTCTTCTTGGGGATGTTTTTTCACCTGTTTTAAATGGAGAATAATAAATAAGTGCGCATTGAGTGATGTGGCAAGTTTGCATTTTGCCACAAACACAGACGTGGAAACACCCAGACAAGATTAGTCATTGAAAAACAACATATCTGATTATCAAATGCAGTGCTTTGTCTGTCGATGAGGCGTGGAGATATTTGAATGTCGTATAACGTCATCCTCGGATTTATTCATACCCTCCCGTTAAAGAAGGAAAAAAAAAAACAGCCGAAATAAGTTGAAATTGACAGAAGTCATTATGAATAAGAAATTTATGAAAATCATGACATTGCTTTTGAATTGTGGTTCAACAGAAATATGTTTTTTTTAAAAAACAGACAAACAAGCATGATGGGACCCGTAAACTAGTATTTAGTTGAACAACCCTTTGAGACAATCGAGTGTTTTCTGTAACTCTCAGTCAGACCTGTTGACAGGTATTTTGATTTCACTCATGTTTTCCAAAACTCCCGCTGTACGCTACAGCAAAGACACGCATAACAACCATGTACTGACTTTAATGGAGCACTTCACACCCAAAAAGACATTTTTTTTTCTCTCAGGAGTTTGTAAACAGCAAACAATGAGTGAAAAGGAGTAAAAATGGTCTTTGCCAGATGATTAGAAGTTGTAGGACTAAGACAGACNCCCAGACTGACTGATTCTGACTCTTTGGTTTGAATTCAAAAAGGAACCTTTTTTACACGTGTTGTGACACACATGGTACCACTAAGGTCATTTGTTCTAGAGGATTTATTATTTCTGTATGCTAATAACAAAGTGTGATGAATGCCTTCGGCTGCCGTTCCACAATAAACAATCACAGGCCTTATTTGAAGCCCATCTGAGCATCTACAGCATGTCTTTACCTCTCCAACTTTTTACAGATCCACTGGAGCATTCAGGAAACTGTGCTTTTAAGTACGGCAGTCAAGAAAAATGGCATGTCCATGAATGTGGCGCTACGCATTCTTTCATGTGTTCTGATGAGAAGCTTTTCCTGGTGAAGGAGAATAAGACGTGGGAGGAGGCCTTAGAGCACTGCAGGTCTCTGGAGATATTGGACCCAAATGTGGCCACAGCTCCTTACCGGAACTACCGCTATGATCTGGCCACCCTGATCAGTCAAGACGACCACGCCAAGGCTCGAGAGAAAGCACAAGAGGCTGACTCTCAATCGGTCAGTTTTCTAAGCTG